AAAAAAAAAAAAAAAAAAAAAAAAAAAAAAAAAAAAAAAAAAAAAAAAACAACAACAACAACAAACAAAACAAATGAATGGAGCAGAGTAAAAATAACACAAATCGTGAAGCACAAGAGTACAAAATTACATACAAAGTGTAAACCAAATAATACCTGGAATCACGAAAATAATCAAGCTACAAGTACAGCCAACGAGTTCTTTTGAAATTATTATTACAACTGCTACACTGTGAATACAGCATTAACCTTGTTTTAATGCAATAAAAAATTAAAATGTCTTACCTAAAAATATTCTTTCATCTAGGTCTCCATGGCTGAGGACATGCTGCTCGTAAGCTTTGTTGACAGCCTTGTTATTTCCATCGAAATTTAAAGGCTCTAAGATACCAGAAAAAGTGGACTGATCCCCTCTGATGACTTTTTCATTGAACAACTTATTTACATAGCGTTTCAAAGAGTATTCTTTGATACTCATAGCTTCAACGGCAATAGCCTTGTGACGATCACAGAGCAAATTTACAATGCAGTTAGCAGTTTCCGGTGGGGTGAAGTTATCGTCTTTGAAATTCTCTGGTAATCCTGAGAAATGGAAACGGTTATATTATTCGGGTTAAAAATCATAAAATTTAAATATTAAATTTCTGACACTGCTTACCAGGGAATTCAGGATTTAACAAATCTTTCCGATTACTTAGCAGAGCATTGCTATACATTAAATCACAGCATACTATTAACAAATGATAGGAATTAACCAGATCATCAGAAATGGTTGAAATTCCACTTTTGATGCAAATAAAAAGTGACCAGCAGAACTCAAAGAGTCTGGTAGGAGTGCAAGGTACAGCTTTGTGTCTTCGCACTCGGACTGGTCTGCCCAAATCCTCAGCTGGATTTTTAAAAATATCCTTGAAAATAGGCTGGTACTTTTGGAATATCACCGATGAAACGGCAAAGTTACTCTGAAGGGTATCTATTCTTGCTCCAAAGTCTTTGGGCATGTTGCACATATCTGCCCATGCTTTGCTTTTGTCGAAAAACTCTATCAAAGGCAAATTACAGAGTCTAAGGAGCCTTGTAAAGGAAACGCAATTTCCTTGAATATTCGTCCCAGTCTTTCCCACAGTGGGTGTAGTCGCTTTACGACAAGCAACGTAAAGAGCACACCCAATCCAGTGCAGCTGGTCACCCTTTTAAAGCGAAATTTAATGTTTTATTACAAGGGAAAAATTTAATAAATTTAAAAAATACACGGACAAAAGTTCAATGCACAGTGGCAAAATCTGACAAAGGCGTACATAAAAAACACTAAAGTAGAATGAGGATTAGAGGAAAAAAAAAACAAACAATAACAAAATAGTAGTGCATGATTCTAAGACAGCTGCAGTTAAATGAAGAAGTAATGATTCTTACAAGATCAATGAGAGAAATGATACAAGTAAAAAAACATACCTCCAGGGTATAGTGCTGCCTTATGTTCTCGTAAGAGGTCCAGGCTTCGTTAGCCGCGCTCGCATCCATGTTGAGCTTCTGACACAAGTCCTGGTGCTTAACGAACGTCGAGTCCTCGATGTCGTCGGACCTGCCCATTTTGGCACGGCTGCTTTCCTCGTCCTCGTTGTTATTATCCAGCTTTACTACAATATCAACAGAACACAAAACACCCTACTTTCACTTTATAGACTGCAAGACTTGCAACTGTACCAATAAGGAGTATTATACATGTAAGCTAGCACTGCACGCAAAAATTTGGACTCTCTATCACCGCGTGAAACGAAATTCTTTATCAGCTCTGCTGCTGCCAGCACAACATCGTGCGTTTAACAACGTAATTAATAATTTTATCGCGCTGCAGAGGCTGAGGCTGAGGACTTTGCGCGGGAAACCGCCAAGTCGTCGCCATCTTCATGTTTTACATGCCAGCTTGGCGGGGTTGATTTTTTTTTTTTTTTCTATTACGCCATACCAAAAAGCACTTACTTACCGCTATTTATATTTCAGTTCGAGAGTTCTGTAAGCTTCTTCTTCTTCGTTTCCCTCTGCACATGTAATGCAATATGCTCCGCGGAGTGTGCGGGGGAACGTCCCGCACAAAACACAACCTCGTACTTACGCCTCGTCCTGTATCTGTGCGCACCCTGGAGAAACACACACAAGACACGACAACATACAACGCACCTTATTCCGCGCGATTATGACAATTGTTGTACCACAATATTATTAGGATCCGTGTACGTAATTTTGTTTTTCTTTTACTTGGGATGACTGGGATGACAGACGCGCGAGGTTTTCCCCCGCGCTGCAGACTGATCGAAATTTCGGAGGCGACGAACCGTTCGTCGACAGCCGCCAAATAAGGAAAATGCGCGCGCTCTCGGCTTGCCGCGCGTTCCCGCCTCTGCGCTGATTGGTTAAATCGGCACAGTTTTTATCCGCGATCGGCACTCACATCGGCGCGCGCACTCGATTTCCATAACTCAAATTCAAATTCGCTCGTTTAATCGGCGGAGGTGGGGTTAAATCTGATCAACTGATTTGGTTTCGTTCTCTCATGATTACAAAATAACTGTGGGTTATCGAAACTTTGGACAAATTGAAGAAGATCGGGGAGATCGCGATCATGTTACAACATATCCCATCAATATGAAGTAGCATACATTTTTTGTATAGACTTGAGCAATCGCAATACGATTCACCCATTAACATTTCTAATTTTGAACAACATGTCGCTAAGTAATTTGTGAGTAAGTCTTCTATTGACTATCACGAGTCATATAATGCGTAAATCCGGTAAATCATCGGCACTGCACCGATTCCTTTTTACCATCACAGCAAAAATTTTTTGTTATTTTACAACGCTGGACGCTGCAAAAAGTCCGACTTCCCGATTCATGTAGATTTAGTGACCGATGCTAAATGTAGGATTGTTTTCAACGCTAGTAAAGAGTAAATTTATTTTACGAATCATTTTTTACACTATGTGATCAGTTTAAGCGGCATTACCACCACGACCAACGTAACTTTACAGCCTCTGATTTTATCATTCTGGTAAAGAGAGCACGGTGTAAGATGTACGTGAAGTTATGTGTAGTAATTAAAGTAATTACTATACTAAGTAATGCCATGTAGTCGATTTTATTAAACCATATGAATATCTATATTTTTAGAAGTCGACTTTTGGATGAAAAATAGATTGTAAACTTTTTATTGTCTATTTACAAGATTAGTTGCGGCTGGTTTATAATTGATTAAATGGCTCTAATATAAGAAGTGTTAATTATTTGGATCAGCGCCATCTAGCGTTGCGAATTTCTGAACTAAAATGTGGCCCTAAACTTTTGAACCAGAGCTTTAGCGCGTAGAGCTATTTAGTCAGTTATAAACCAGCCGCAACTCATGATAAAGCTATAAAATAAAAAAACAACGATATATGTGTTTTTGGTGGCAAGTTAACAATCTATTTTCTACCAAAAAATTGACCTCCTATGTGTTTATACTTTTGAAGATAAATTTTCGAGCACAAAATGTATTGTTAACTTGCCGCCAAAAACACACGTATCATTATTTTTTTATTTTATAGCTTCGTCATGAGTTGCGGTTGGTTTATAATTGATTAAATGGCTCTAATCCTGAATGCTCTGATTGAGAATTTTAGGAGCCACTTTTGGCCAAAAAATAAAGACCGCTAGATGGCGCTGATCCAAATAATTATTGCTATTTACAGTAAAGTCATTTTATTAATTATAAACCAGCCGCAAATAATTTTATAGATAGATAATAGAAAGTTAACATTTTTTGTGCTATTTGCGGCAAGTTTACAATTTATCTTTTGCCTTAAAATCGACCTCCAAAACCATCAATATTCTACTTATCTTATATGGCTCATAAAATCGACAATATTTACAAAATTACAATACTCTTGACCTTAATCTGGCCAGTTAAGACAGCAGACGACGTGAAAGTCGAGAAAAAAGTGAAGATTTCATCGCTGTTGACTGTCGTCTGCTATTTTAACTGGCCAGATTACGGAACAGAGCGCCAGTTAATTCAAGGTAGTTGACTTACCGACTTGACGGTAACGTAGAGCGCAACCTAAATTACTTGCTGGTGACGATTGCGGAAAACACCCCATGGCCTGTGCAGATTACGGAATATAGCGCCAGTATAATTCAAGGTAGTTGACTTACCGACCTGACGGTAACGTAGAGCGCAAGTTTAAATTACTTACTGCGTTACAATTTTGTTTACTTTTCTTATTTTCAAAAGAACACTTTTAGGTTGTAGGGTACCTATTGTTGTAGAAAATATCTTTTATTATGTGGTTTATTAGTAGCATACGTAAACGTGGTGACTAAATAAGATATCATTAGCTACGGCTACGGCTGTATGTAGCTATTTACGCTTTTGCATTGCGTGCGTGATAGAGTAAGTTTAACAGTTGGTGAGAAATTGAGAAAGTTGAATGAAATGTTACTGTTAAATTTCTTAAATAAAATTTTCTAATATCATGGACGGAATTTGCGAGCTATTCTTTCCCATCGGATATCTGGTTGAACTATTGTAGTCATTTAAACTTTGATAAGACACAATGCACAGGCAGATCAGGTGTCTGTGCACCAGTGTGAGGTTGCACTCACAGATGGGGAGGATCGTTAACAAAGTCTTTAATTCGGATTTAACAAAAAAGTAAGTCTACGTTGCTTGTATTGATTCGAGTTCGACATTGAAAATGATGATTATTTTTTGGAATGTAAAAAACCACTTGATTTTAGAAGCCGCAATAATAAAGCGTACAAGCCCTCTGTTGAAACATTTCCAAGTCTTTTCAATAAGGCACAAACTCACAAATCCAGAAGAACAACAGTGTTAAACAAAATTTTGATGAGACATATAACCGATTTAATGGCAACAGGGGAAGTTGCTCCAACTTTGTTGGGCAGAGGAATAGAAGTAACTCATGTCGATGTTGCTTCTGACTTTAGTGTGGTCAATGTATATTGGATTGCTCAGAATAATAATGATGCAAACGTTACAACGGATCAAGTTCTAAAAGTAGCCGCTGGTCATTTGCAGCACGAATTGTCCCAGCTGAGAGTTATTGGTCAAGTGCCTCCCGTGAATTTTGTGAGAAATAAAATTTACAACACAATTAAAGAAGTCGAGGATAGATTAAAAACAGTAGATTTCGGGGAAGATTTTGAGCCAACAGCTCATATTATACCAGAGGATAGAACACCTATCCTCAAAACTACCTTGTCTGAAAAAGTAAAACAACAGATTGAAGAATTAATGAAGCAACAAAATAGTACTGACGATGCCCAAGAAAATGAAGAGACAGAGGAAGAAGATGATAATGCTCTCGAGATTCAGGTTCCAGAAATGAGACAGAACGTTATGGGCTTTGATCATAGTTACGTTTTGGCAAAGGTTGGTATTATTGTATCTCACGTCATTTTAAATTATTTATATTGGAATAATCGTAATGGAATTTTGTGTGTTGAATAGGTCAAAACTTCTCTGGGCAAAATTAAAATTGCTGAAGAAAGAAAAAAATTGAATTTGCCAGAATTTCCACAAGGCAGCCAAGTGCCTAAAACAGAGTCTTCAAACGAAGTAACCGACTTTTTAGCCTCCAGTAACGGAGATCTGAAAATCGAAAAGTTTATAAAGAAGCGCTTGTCAGATGAAAAACGCAAACTTAAAGCTTTACCTTATGAGGCAAAGTTGGAAGCAGAAATTGAGTGGATCGAAAAAATGGGAAATAAAAACACGAGTGATTATTACGTCGACGACGTATGGGAGGATGATTATCGCAGTAAGAGTAATAATAAGTAACACTTGTTTGTTGACGTAATTTTTAGTTTGTTTAAACTGTAAATATATTAAAAATTCATACGTATAATAAAACTAGGATTATTAATGTTTTGAAAATTGTAGAGGAACATTTCTATACATTTTTAATAACCTTAACAATATAATGATCAATTTCAATGTTACATAACATAATTATCAGCAAATGATTCAATAATCAAGAAGAATGACATGTAGCCTCTTAGTCCGCGCCGATTTGAAGAACGTCGAAACAGACACCACATACTCTGACGGGTTTGTTCAGTCCAAATTTCAATATTGGAACATCTTGGCCTGAACACTTGCTGCACAGTATCCTTCCACAATGGCGACTGAAAATGTTTTGATTCGTGAAAACAAACACACTCATTATTCTACAATAAAAATGAATTATCATATACCTACCAATGATGTTTTCGCATGGTAAGAGAAAATTTTGTACCGCACTCTAGGCACAGATCTTTATCTGCCCACGGTGCTTCTTGAGTCAAGGACTCCAACAGTCTATAAAGCAGCTGCTTCGTCGCTACTTGATAATTAAATATCGTTATGCCATCTTTGTTCATGGAACCGAGACATGCGCCGAATTTGACGAGAGTTCGGCATAAATTGCCGTTTCCCTTCATGTAAGCAATTAAGAGAGGCGTGTTTCCATCGAGATCTTATCGGAACAATGAGTTTGTGAATCGATCGAAATAAATTTACATGAGGTGCAAAAATTAATACAATCAACCCAATACCTGCATTGTTGAGAGGATACTGGGGCATGCACTCGAAAAACAGCTCGCAGATCGTAGCCGCGTTATCACGACCGTACCTCGCAAGCTCGTGGAGTGGATTGCGGCCCTTGAGATTGACTGCCTCGGCGTCGAGCGTGCACTCGGTGAGCAGAGTTCGCACCACAGGCACGTGTCCCTCTCTAACGGCAACGTGTAGTACATTGTCTCCATCGGCATTCACCGCGTCAAAGTGTATGCCGTTCTAACGAGAGAATATTCAATTTCTCCATGTATACAGGCAGTTAAACTGTATGGGGGAACAGAATATTTTACGAGTCAAACCTGCAGCAGTGCCGAAACAACGGTGGCGTGGCCAGCCTTGGCAGCCGCGTGCAGAGCCGTATTCCTGTGGGCGTCCGTGTCGTTGACTCGTGCCCCGGCTAGTATCAAGCTACGGACCAGCATTTCATTGCCACTGACCGCTGCCAAGTGCAGCGGTGGTATCTGCATCACGTCCTGTACCCTTGAATTCACATCCACCTGCGAATCGTAAAAAGGCCAAACAAAATTAAACACTCCCGGAATACACAGCAACGACGACATTAGTAACGTTTCAACGCGCCTGTATCGAAAGCAAAAACAGTATGCTTTCCATGTCGTTTTTCTGTATGGCAGTGTGCAAAAAGTTCCTCCCCTTGTTGTCGAACTGTTCCGCGGCCGAGGGCAGCCTGTCCAGAATAGCCTGGGCGGCCTTGTTGTTTCGCACGGCCAGCGCAGAGGCGAACGGGCTCTGTCCCTTCTTGTCCCTCTGGGACAGGTTGATGTTGGGATGGCATAGCAACAGCGAGATGATCTGAGCGTGGTGGTTCTGTATGGCAACGTGCAGGGGCGTCTTACCTTCGGAGTCCTTAGCGTTGACATTAGCCCCGTGTTCTATCAATGTTTGTACAACCTGAAGCGGGACGAGATACGATGAAGCAACGGCAAGGGAAAATTCGTAGCAATAGATGTGTCGCGTACCTGCTCGAGTCCCCACTGGCAGCACAGGTGGAGGGGCGTGCAATCGTCGCGCGCCTCCTCGCCACCGGCACCATCCGAGCCGGCTCTGCGCGGTGAATTGAGATCGCAGCCGCTTCTGATCAAGAACTGGGCAATGTCCTCGCGGTTCTCGTCAATGGCCCTGTGGAGGAGGGTCTGCCGGCAGCCGTCTGGCCCGGGCGACCAGCAGTCGGGATCGGCACCGTGCGCCACGAGGCTCGACGCCACGTCCTCCTGCTCGGACTCGAGCGCGTCCCACAACGGACAACCGGCCGAGGTATCGGCCCCGCGCCGGCACAGGGCCTCGACCACGTCGCCCAGCCGGCAGTGCACGCTCAATTGCAGGGCCGTCTCTCCTTCGGTAGTTCTGCAATTGAGGTTGTTGTTGTACATGGCAATAAGTATACTTTATTAACAATAAGCAGCCGCGTCTCACCTGGCGTTCATGTCGGCCCCGTGCTCGAGCAGAAAGACCGCGCTGGCCGAGTCCTCCTTTAAAATGGCCTGGTGCAGTGCCGTGTGGCCGGCCTCGTTCCTCTGCTCGAGATCGGCGCCCACCGCAATCAGCGCAGCCAGTATCTCCCTGTCCTTCGGCACCGCTGCCAGGGCCAAGCTCAAGGGACTCTCCTGGGCCCGGTTCTTCGCGGCTAGGAGCTCCCGGCGCTCCTCGAGGCTGTTGCCACCACCGGCATTGTCGAGTATGGCGCGCAGGGCCTCGTGCCTGCCGTGCTGGACCGCCAAGTGGAGGGCCGTGTCGCCGGAGAGCGTGCGACTGGCCAGGAGGCTGGGACACCGGTCCAGGAGCCGGCGACAGAGCAACCCCAGGCCCGAGCGCGCCGCCTCGTGCAGCACGGTCCAGCCCTCGCGGTTGCGCGCCTCGAGGCTCTCAGCCGGGGCGCGCCACTTTCTCTTGGCGCCCTGCTGGCCGCTGCTGCTCTCTGTGGGCAAGCGGGCGCAAAGTTACTTGGTCATTGTGCATAATATATGGCCACTCGATCCGACGGGTGGACGAACCTCGGGGGTCGCAGGGCTCGAGGAGAAAGAGGGCGGCGGCCTCGCGGGAGTCGCGCGCCAGCCGGTGCAGCAGGGTGTCGGCCTCGTCGCCCGGGTAGAAGGGGTTGGCCGAGGCGCCGCGTCCCAGGAGCTTGGCGGCGCCGGCCTCGAAGCCGTCCGGCTCGGCCAGGAGGGCCATGCACAGGGCCGTGTCGCCTCGCTTGGTGCGCAGCTCGACCTCGAGCTCCGTGCTCGCCAGCAGCAAGTCCAGCAGGGCCTCGTTCCTCTCGGCCACGCAGCAGTGCAGCGGACTCCTGCGGGTCGTGCGTCACAATTGTTGTATTTCCAAAAGGCCCGAGCAACTTATGTATGCATATATTGTATGTGTGTATGGATGAAGCAGACCAGCCATCGTGGCTCTGGACGTTCGGGTCTAGCCCGGCTTTGAGGAGCCTGGCCGCGACGGCGAGCATGTCCCGGGAGGTGTGGGCGGCTAGGAGGTGGAGGGCAGTCCTGCCGTCCGATTCGTCGGGCCGGTCCAGGCCCTTGGTGCTCCCGGCGTTGTTGTTCTCGAGCTGCTCGACGATGAACTCGGCCGCGTACGAGTCGGCCTTGATGATGGCCGAGTGCAGGAGGCTGTGGCCGCGGGAGTCCTGGGCGCAGAGGTCGGCGCGGTGCTCGACCAGCGTGCGGGCCAGCGACGGTTGACGGCTCTTCAGGGCCACCTCCAGGGCCGTCTCGCCTCGGGAGTCTCGCTTGTTCACGGCTGCCGGGAGCTGCGGGTGAACGACGATTATTCGTGTGTGTGTCGTGGTAGTTTGAGAAAGTGGCTAGCATCTCATTTACCCTTTTGGTTTAAACGATTTATCTATGAAAATCGGGAAAAGCAATAATCTGTAGGGTAAGTGACGATTTATCTGGTGAGTACATCACAGATAAGTCCCGACAACTCGATATACAAGTGTGTTGATGCCAGAGCGGGAAAAAATAACCCAAGGTAAAAGATACGGGAAAAAAACAATCCTCGTATTTTTAAGAAAAGGACACTGTCTATTCGGATAAAATTCAAACCGAATTAGATCTCAAATACATCCGTCTTAATCTTTCTCAGCTGTTCTTCTCATTTCCTCGACAATGTGCTCGTGTATATTTATAATGTATACATTAATCTAAATTGTGCGTATGTGTGTATCTAAATACGCGTTTAATTCATTCAGCAAATCAGCACATATAGAGAGAGAAGCGCGCGCGTGCACGCGTACATGGATGTATACTTATAAACGTGTATTATGTGTATTAAATGGTACGTATTAAATATACCCCAGGTATTCCACGAAAATGTGCCCTTTTTTTTTCATTTTTTCGACTAATAATGTAAAATCGAAATCACCCTAAAATGACGATGTAACAATCGGGAAAATGTCAAGTAATGACTGCTTCTGCTAACGGTTGTATACAATTTTACGGAGATTTTCAAACACACTTGGAAATAAAATGAAAGGTCAATTAAATTTGAAAGGCGTGTATTGCATAAGCTCGCAACTTTCCGTACTGGCAGGCATAAATTTTCGACGAAAAAGCCACGAGTACATCATGATTTATCAAAAATTTGCGATAAAAAAAAAAAAAGCCACCTCTGAATCATCATGATACATTGTGAAACTCCCATCACAAAGCGATCCGAAACCAGTGAGTCAAGTGCGGCCGTTTCCGTAATCGCGATTTTTCTCGTTCACCACACGTGCCCCAAAGAAAAAAAAAGCTCCAATCTTTTACGGGACCACGTAAAATCAGTGCACAGTTTTTTTTTTTTTTTTTTCTTTCAAGAAAATAAGTAGCTCGCCTACGAAAATAATTCAAGTTCCATCCGTGCAAAAGTGTGGCGGCGAAAAAAAAGAAGGAGGGGGGAAGCATATCATATAATAATCATCACGATCATCAGCAGAGAAGAAGAAGAAGAAGAAGAAGAAAGGCGATGAGGAAAAAGAGAAAAATCGAGGCAGGCGCGCATGACGTGGCGAGGACGTCCAGTCGTCGGTGCGTACACCCCTATAGGTATATGTACACTAGAGACTCGAGTGGTATTCGCTGATGGTCTCGCTTGCTCGCGCGCCACCGGAATCAGTTGGCCTCGGCCCAACGCGACTGACGCTACCGTAATACCCTACTTGAGTGAATTTTTCTCGGCCGTTCATTTGTATTATTTTTGTTTTGTTGGTTTTTCCCACTTCTCCCTAAGCGCGGTTCGATGCTTCGTTATTAATGTAGAGAAAACCACTAGTCGAAGGGGCCTGCAAAACAATGAAAATCGGTCGCGTGAAACGAGCCCTCGGGAGCTTTTCTGCCTAACAATCGCGCCGTAAGTATTGTACACGTATGTATAATATACTCGTCCGCGACGGCGATCGATCCAGGATAAGCAGGTGTTCCAATTGCGATAATTGTTCATTACTACAGGCATACACAAGCGCGCGGTACACCGAAAAAAAAAAAAATAAATAAAAAAAAAAAAAAAAAAAAAAAAAAAAAAAGGTCCAAAGATGAGTCGCTAGGCCTTGTTTTTCCATATCATTTCGATCCGTCGTTCCGTTGGTGATGCGAACTCCTCGTCTTTGTATTTATTGGAGCCGCGCACGCGTGTGTGCATCCACTTTATTCGTGAGCGCCAAAGCGCCAGTCGATTCGGTTGAGAGCGTTTTCGCGCGAGCCGCGCTTCTCCGATAAGACGAGCAAACGCGCGCCCGTCGAATCCACGAGTGTCGAAAACACAAGGGTTCAATCGGTTATCTGCGGAAGCGAGAGACAATAGAGAGCCATCGCCATAAATATACACACAGTGAATCATGAGGCTTTCCGCGTGTCTCATGCGGCGCGATGCCGTTTTTTCTTTTCCTTATCGTCCGCGCTGGTGATAAATAATTCTGGGCTTGTGGTGCGGCGAATACACGACACTTTACATCCGACGGGGGACAAGCTCGCTTCTGTTCTGTGTCGCGTTCCATCGAAACCTTCCCAACTTACTTTTACACCCGTTAGTACATGTACATCGCCTCGTTTAAATTGAACAAGTGCAACGTTGTCGAGGTAGGACGTTTCGGGACGAAATGAGGCTCTGTCGCATTGCATCGGGAAGTCACAGGAGGAGGCCGAGCAACAATGCAGCAACAACACTCGCCTGTGAGTCATTGGACGTTATATTCATTTACCTCTCTCTCTCTCTCTGCGTCCGAGAGAAAAATATTCGTTTTTTTTTTTTCTTTTCAATTATAATGTACAGTATGTTTTCGTTACACACGCGCTTCCCGGTAAATTGTACCGATCTCCCGAGTGTATACCACGATGGTATAAATGTCCCAACGGGACCGAGCGGAGTCTCTCACGCGAACCGTATAACTACGTATAAACACACGTGTGTATTATTTGATGAGTCTTTTTCATCATGACACGCAGGCCTGGCGCTGCTAGCGACGACAGCTCGCGCGATGATATGCTACAGATGCACGGTGCTACCGCCCCAGTACGTCGGGGACGTGGACCAGCCGTGCTCGAAATTCGACGCCAGCTCGAGGTACTACCACGACTGTCCGGCTTCGACCTTCTGCGTGAAGCGAATTATTCATTATCGGCTGCCAAACGGAAGTGAGTATGATACGCCGCGTTGCCGATCGCCGTCAAACTATGAATTATTCAACCGAGCGATCGAACTTTCTTTGGGCATATTATGTACACTTGTGCGATTGAATTCGATGGCGATGGAGTGCAGTTTGTTTGATTTGTCGTTTTTCGTTTTTCAGCGCTGGTAACCACGGCCGAGAGGAACTGCGCCTCCCAAAAATTCGTCTTCCAAGACTACAACTACAAGGACAGACAGTGGCACGCCAAAGAATCCGTCAACACGGAAATTTACTCGGAAGGCTGTTTCAAGGGAGAAGACAGGGGAGCGCCGAATGGGCCCTCGGAGTACTGCTACTGTTCCGGGGACTACTGCAACGCGTCGCCCCCGGTAGCTCGACCACTTGGAATCGTCGCTGTTCTTCCCTTTCTTCTAGTCCTCGCTGTGCATTTGCGTTCGAGCTGACTATGGCCTTGAATTATTTAAGCTGAGATCGTTTATCTTTCTTATTCTCCGTTCTTCCGTGGTACGAGGCTAGTGGTTCGTCGATGATTCCACGCCTTTGGGGGAAAAAGATTAGACGCGATCTCTGAACGCACGATATTACGAAACGCTTGTGATATGAGAAAAAAGAAACAAAAATAAAAAAAATAGATGTACATATTTTTAAATGTTTACCGTATTTAAAAGCAGTAAGATAATAATTAAATATAGCAAACTGTTACTTAATGATCTCTGTACAAAGAAAAGTTGGAGAGAGAGAGAGAGAGTTCTTACGAATGTCGTGTTAAAAATAAAAAAAAATAGGAGAACACTTACCTCTGCGTTGTGTTCAACCAAATATAAAAATACGACGTCTTCCCGTTGCAGACGAACGGCGGAATGTAGCGGGTATTCACTTTTAGTCTTCAATAGTTGGTACAACAGTGGTCCAGGCATTTCTTTAAAGTCCTCGCCACTTAGGTCATCCTAGCATGAAAATTCGTTTGTTTTAGCAAAATTCTTCATTCTTGTATTAAGACAGTTTTGTATTTAATAAAATTTACGATTAAAAATCTCACCCAGTGACATGATATTAACGAACTACAGTGATCACGCAATTTTTTTGCTCCCAGCTCCTCTGCCACCGTGTACAGCCTCACGCAATCTTGCAATTTGACACTTCCAATTAGATACCTTTCACACCTGTCAACTAATTCAATCAGTCCAAATCCAGATGCAGCCTTCATTAGTTCGAGAGACAAATCTTCCTGATTCACGACATCCGAGTATATCCATTTCAAGAGAATGGAGCCCACATTTCCATCAAGATTTTTCCAGTCTGCAATCACAAGAAACATTGTTACCATCCTAAATGAGATATTTACACATTAGCGAATAATAATATACAAAACTCGTACCTAAAACTGCTTTTTCTGGCAAAGAGCTCCAAGAATCACTTCTGGCAGCAAGTACAAATTTGTGAACAGGAATGTTTCTGTCCTGCAGAGCAACAGTCACGTCGCTGCGAAATATAAAAAAAATGGTTATAAACGTATACTCAGTTGTTCCGCTTGGATTAAAAACTTGAGACCTACCTGTAACGTTGCCCCTCGTACATCTGAGATATCTGAGATAAGAGCCTTCCAATAAAGCCCTGGTCTTCTTTGGTTGCCATTGCTAGTGCATGCTTTTGCTGCAACTCGGTATAATTATTGTAAAGATTAACATACTGCTCTCTGAGCAGAGCTAAATGCTGCTGCCACTTTTGTGAATCTGCCGAATCTTCTGAAAAAAATGTGAAAACGAGATGGAAACTTTCATGCTCGTGCGAAGCCTTTTTTTGCACAACGTTGGAGTATATAAGCTTACCCATGGTTCAAGGGACAAGATTTTGAGAAACCCACTATTATCTCAAACGGCAAACGTCACCAGGCATTGATTGAATGCTCAAAAAAAAATGCTGAGCTTTCAACTATCACACAAAATTCACTTTTCTTCCCAAAGATACTATCAGTTCCTCGCCATTCCTGCTCTCTTGGCACAAAATCATCTACAACTGTGAAGAGCTATCTTAGTCCAAAGGTATAAAAAAACACCATTTATTTGTTATTTGATTAATAAAACAAGCGGCTTTTTAAAAGTGACATGTTTGGTTGGCGAAGCAACGGTACTACAACCAACTGTATATAGATTGTAACGCCCCTATCTATAATCTGACCGCAAATATGTTTCGTTACACCCACACACTGTTCACTGCCACTTGCGAAATTGTACGTGCAGAGACGCTGCTGATGCCACTACAAGTAAGGGTTTATAAAAAATAGTTTTACAGAGTTCGTTTCATACAAATTTTTTAATCGATACTTTATTTTTAACATTACTTTAGATTAATTCCCGGACAAAGTGACAGCGACATTAGTTTGTTTGCCAAGTAGTTCCGATCCAAAAAGGAAGATAACTTCACCTAGCTTAACTTGATTTTAAAGAGGAACACATTTCTCTTTGGCGTGAATGGTGTGTTTGTGTGTATGCGGATGACAATAAGATGGGTGTTTAGCTCTCCGTGTTTGTGACATTCCTGCATTTGACTTTTAAAATAGCTGCATAACGGCAAAACACCGGTTACAATGGAACCTCAAGATATTTATTACAACAGGAATGAATACGTCGAGACTGTAAGTATACGTATTTGGTTGTTAAATGAGGCAAAAACAACGAACCATCGATTTAACCTCGAAATTGTTGATAACATTATTATTCCAGGCTTCGGGAAACAAAGTTAGCCGACAGACGGTGTTGTGCGGCTCACAAAATATCGTTTTGCATGGCAAAGTGATCGTACAGTCGGATGCCATTATCAGAGGTGACTTGGCGAACGTTAAAACCGGACGTTATTGCATTATCGGCAAAAACGTCGTCATACGTCCACCTTTCAAAAGATTCAATAGAGGGTGTGTACACAAACAATTCCATAGTGTCAAGTTCGCTGCTCATTTCATCTTTATTTACTCACGCCATTCAATTGTAGGATAGCCTTTTTTCCACTACAAATGGGAGATCACGTTTATGTAGGGGAACGTTCGATCATCAGTGCAGCAGTTATTGGTTCTTATGTTTACATAGGCAAAAACGTCGTCATTGTAAGTTTTGATTATTTTCTGAGTGTTATTGCTGTAGAAATACTTGTGATGATAATAAACGAGCTGTGTTTTCCTAGGGAAGACGTAGCGTTTTGAAGAGTTGTTGCTACATCGAAGACAACACTGTAATTCCCCCAGAAACAGTTGTACCCTGTTTCACGAGATTTGGTGGTAATCCAGGCAAATGCATTGAAGAGCTCCCAGAGTGTACTTTGGATCTGATGCTGGACTTTACAAAGAACTATTACCAGCACTTTTTGCCAGCCAGTCATGGATCTTAACAGGGTTTCATGTGCATTTAGGAGTATTTATTGTGACTGAATGAAAGATACGGCGAGAATGACAGAAAAGAATGAATTGAATTTTATTGTGAATAAGGTTGGTGCTGTTTAAATTTTTTTTTAATTTATGTACTTAGCTTACTTATGTGCGTAATCGATAACTAGATAGCTTTATTTTATAATTCTAATAATATTCTAACGCTATTTAGAACTTTCTAACAATGCTGTGCTCTATGAGTATGACTCACAAAAAAAAAAAAAAACAGAAATTTCAAATAAAACTACAATTACTAGGATAATTTTATATGTATTCTTATCAATGTATCTTAAGCCTATATTTTAAGGAATAGTTTCACTCCCTAAATACTAGTAGTCGTTTAACATTGACAATATATTCATTTATATGTGCTTCTGCCGGATGAATTAGAGTAACCTTTTTATCACCTACAGCATTTTTTAGAACCACGTTACGTTTTCATCGGCGCAAAGAAGAATCACCCCCATAAATTTGTTCTCTTTGCCCTCAATATCAATTTCCACGAGGATTTTTTCTTTTATCGACAACATCATGACAACATTGTTCAATCAACACAACAGGCGATGAAATAAAATATTATATTTGCACTGCATAAATTACATTATAGATAAAGATATCGATTCAGAAATGCCGCGCAATTCGTTGAGCGTAATCTTTGGGAATCGGTACACCACATGACCGACAGCAGAACTGTCCGATCATGAATTCCTGCAGCATTAACGGAGTCGATTGTAATCATCGGGAGTTAAACGCTTGAAATTCAACACACGATAAACAATTAAAGTGCACATATCTTGGGTAACAAGCAATTTCAATGAAACATCTCATGATAAAGATACATATTGTCTTGTTTTGCAATTTACTCAATGTAGGTACTTTTGTAAACTTTAAAATCCAAATCCACGTAGAAATCGCATGTATGTACTTCAAACAAAATGTTTAAACCAAACTATCGCGTGCATTGTCAAAGTGCGTGTGCTCTAGGATGACGCATTGTAAGCCATGACTCACGCGATCGAGATCCACTTGATGTTTCTCATCCATCCTCTACTTATCTATTAGCTACGCGCGGATTCTAATATTTTTTTTTCATCCTTCGGGCCTTGAACATTTTCAAATAAGCTGAGGAGGGGGGGGGGAAACATCGTGCACGGCGGCACTCGTTTGGATTCGAAAAAGTATTGCGCGCGAGCATTTTTTTTTTTTTTTTTCATTGTAACGCAACATCCACCAATTAACGCTGTTATTACGAAAACGAGCGCATAATCCGATCGGAGCGATAAAGTTGGATTATTGCGCCCATAAAATCGGCAGCAATAATGTCGCGGAGCGGAAAATTCATGTTTCGTGAAAATGCACTTTTATTTTTTTTAAGTTATTGCGCGGTTAGACGCGACCGTATGATTTTTTATTACTCATCGAGAAGCGTTATATTTGCCAAACGAATTCTGGAAATTCCTTTATACGAAACTCGTAATGTGGTTAAATTTTTTTTTGTTTTTTTTTTTTATTACTTTTGTTTCGTGAGTTACAATGTTTGCCTCGACAAATAGCTATACTCTTATCGAGTGTGTGCACTGAAAATACGACGAGGGGGGCAACTCCCGCATCATCATCATCATCATCATCGCAATCGCAGGGGAGAACAAATCTTCGTTCTCACGGTAGCGGTCGTTTCGGCACTTCCGCCGGCGAATTCATCTCGGCCATCTGTGATATCAAACCACTGGAAGTGCGCAATCATTGCCAATGCGTTGCCATTGAAATTAAAAGTCAGATAAATAATAATACATTAAACGTCGCATGTATCATTCCAGAGACGCCGATGTACCGATAATGATTGTGCTCCAAGAATATGGTGTACTCGCTTACGCACAGTTGCACTATTATCCGCGTATAGGTGATTACTCGCAGATAAGTATTTAAAAAAAAAAAAAAAGGCTACGCTCGAAATTCCTTCTTTTTTTCTTGTTCCGTGGTTAACACGTAATCCGCGGTGATGGCCTGCGATAAGTTTTCGAGCGTGTAATTTTTACTGTTATTGCTATTTTTTTTTTTTTTTTTTTTTCGTATTTTCATTATTCCCGAGCCACAGTCTAATTAAGGAAGTTTTATAACTGAGCGCAAATAAGTTTTTTTTTTTTCTTGTTTTTGTAGAGATAGCATCATCTGCCAACTAACGATGGCCTACAACATAACCCAGGGTTTCGCGAATTGTTGTTTTTTTTATCTCTGTAAGAGCTAGGCGGTAGTTACTTATGTGGCACTGTTATTTTTATAGTTCCTGTTGCGCTCGTGTACACTGTTATATAGCAGTAAACAAATTATCAAAAACAAGCACACTTTGAAAAATGTTGGATTTTTTCCTCGTTTGAAGCCAACGAGACATTTTTTTCTCAAATAATAATCGATACACTTTTTTTTTATTTAAAATAATTTGTGCAGTCCCATTTTATTGACACTACTAAAGAAGGCTATTAGTAATATTTATTACTATTATTTACTTATGATAAGTAAGTTATCGTGAGTTTTTTTAGGATTCATCAAAGTATTGCTACAAAAACGAAAAGATACTGATTTATCACGAAACTTGCTATTTTCTTGGTTTATTTTCGAATCGTTCGTAACAACCATAATTAAAAAATTGTCATTGTACAAAATGTTTATACACGCGTATGGATTGAAAATGTATTTTTAATCATAACTAAAGCATAATTGAAACTTGCTTATCATCTCTATTGTAATTTTCCACGCTTATTCTGATGATTGTGTCCAGTCACGCAAGTTAGCAAAGTAAATAGATGAAATCATGAAGTTAATTGTTAATATCTTCGTATATAAGACGATTTTTTTAGTTTTGACGTTGATCTCATGGTTATACACTTTGATTTTCACTAAGTAATACTATTCAGAATAAAAAATAAAAACTACATAAGTGATAACAATTATCAGTTCTACTGCAATAGTTTATCACCTCGATAGTTTCGTACGTTTCTTAGAAATGGTAGTTAGTTATCTTTATTGGATAATATCTTAGAAACAAAAAGAACTTTCACAACGTGCTCATATTCTGATCTCATCTTTTGGACAACGAACAATGGTCTCAAGGGCTTAGTCCATGGTATGACCAATCCCCCGAATAATGTATATTTCTTTTGGCCGCAGGCCGAAACAGACTATTTTCCCGTTTTATTGCCTTTCTTTGTCTCCGTTATAATTCGAAGAAAAGGCATTTTAAACAAAAAAAAAAGTTCTTAATATAGTTATCTACAATTTTGTCTAAAATAAGCGTTGATACAGGTTACAACGAATGTAAATCATTAGGCTGTGATCATGTACCAAAAGTTATTTTCCAATTTTGAGGTCAACAACCGGATGATAAGTGATTCCCTGCAAGTAAATCCAAAAACTTGATAATGCACGAACACACATAGTTATACGTAGTAGATATGCCATGAGACCAACCCGAACCGGTTTTATCTATACCAAAAAATTATTTATCATACAAATAAGTAGTTCGTGGTCGTGGACCAGCCATATTCAATCCATTATTATGAACGACGAGCAATGAACAATCGAAACTCCATATAAAACGTGTACAAGAAAGTAACACTTTGTAAATCATTACGAAACAAAAAAGAAAAAGTCCCGACTACTTGTTGCACGTGGCGCACATCATGTATTAATAATCTTTGATTTGTTGTCGTGTTAATGCAACGACACAATCGGATGCGACAGCGCGCCGTATAAAAATAAAAAAGTCGGGTGTGCTTGTCTTTCGAAATAACGGAACAACAAACAAACAAACGAACGAAAATGAAAAATGAAAAATGAAAAATGATGATCGTTTTATCATCGGTGTATAACCAGCCTTGCTGTAAAAACGCGATTTCCGATATATGTATGCGTTACACTGCACATGACGACAGAGGAGGCCCGATCTAAGCGATACAAATATACACACACGTATAATATATATACGCATGAAATAAAAGCACGTATAACATGATAATACTACAGGAGTCGGTGAACGAGCACGTGCAACATGTGCGATCGGTGATTATATCTTATCTCTCTGGTGTTGTTTCTTGTACCCCGCGTCAGTCGGCGCGCTGGCTGGTTGGTCCGAGAGCGATGTCTCAAGATCGAAGGAAGTCTGCATTCTTGCGTGTGTCGCTCCTCCTCCTCCTCCTCCTCCTCTGGCTGTGAGTGTACGTTCGAAGAGAAACGATAAGAGAAAAATATGGGCATTTGTGTCGTGTTTGATAATTACTTGCACGATCATCGTCGTCGTAAAAGACCATACACTTGATGTATATATATACTCTTCCGCGAGAGGAAAAAAAGAGCCTCTACATGATACTACTGCGTTTTTTTTTTTTTTTTTTTTATTGTATGGCCCGATAATTAATGCGGATTCTTCTTCATTTTCTCAGCTGTTGTCGAGCTTATCGGCTCGTCAGCACCTCGCTCTTGTCAAACAAAAAAAAACTACAACATATATACAATCCATACATATAAATATGCTTCGTGTTATCAAAGGGCTTTGGCTAATATTGTTGTTGTCAAAATAATTAAACTCGTACGCCTGTGTTTTTTCACCAATGCGTGTACACGTGTATTGTTTTTTTTTTTGTTTTTTTTTTTTTTTTTTCCAACATCCCTCGAATCGCACAATCTTATCAGTGAGAACGCGCGGGCGCTTTTACGTGCGTGAAATACATTTTTAGCTACGTTTCTTTTAAAATATATAATCCCCTGAAAAGCCAAAGTGTCCCTAGTGAGCTTCATCGTAGCTTGTTGGTGATGAGCTCGACCGCGAAAACAGCGCTACCGAGCATCAGTCCAAAAAGTAGGGTCAAAAAGGCCCCGTAGCACTCGGTGATGCCGACGCTGAGGAATCGGCTGGCCGAGCTGCAGATCGGCTTCTTGGTGTACAGTCGGCTCAGTTCTCTGGTGCGCAGGCCCGTCTCGTGTATCCTCATGGCCCTGAGGAGAGAGGAAAAGTTTGGCTTTTATTGACACCAATTGCTGATTTTAAAAGATTTTATCATCTCGCGGCCCTTTCGTATATACACATATAATCCAAACAATCGACAGAAACAGCAAACATATACATCATTATCTTGTTGATTTCTTTTGCACCGCGTGGGCTATTGTTATTAATAACTCGAGAATTGTGGTTCGTTTATCTTTCAATGTTAACCGAAGGATTAATCATTTATAGCACGAAAAAGCCAGTCATCGGGGTATGTGCAGTCATCTGCATACCCGACCCTGAAGATCTCGAGGTAGGGCGACCTCCTCTTGACGATGAAGTGAGGATCGAAAACGTTGAGAAAGTCGATCTCCTGGAAGCCGCACTTCTCGTCCTCCTCGAAGCTCTCCTGGACGATCTTGTAAGCGCAGCCGGGCTCGACGTGGAAGGCAAAGTAGCCCCGACGCATGCGCTCGACCCCGTCCTCTATGGCCAGCCAGTTGGTCCTCCTCGATCCCCTGGGCTCGATCCTCTCCTCGAAGATGGCTCGGCGCACCGGGTCCTTGAACGACTTGAAGTAGTAGCGGTTGAAGACGTTGTCGTGCGCCGCCAGCGACAGTGGACTGTTCAGCAGGTCGTTCAGGCTCTTGATCGACGTTGTGGTCGAGGTCAGCAGGGCCACTATGTTGGCCGTGTAGGCCGAGTACAGGATCACCGCCGCCAGCAGGGCCATCAGGATTATTATCCGCGTCGATACGGCCCGGGGCTCGTACCAGAAACCTGCGTGGTTTAGATTTTTTTTACTTTTTTTCTTTGCAACCGAGCGTTGCATCAAATGAAACAAATCAACTCTTGAGACGGTATTTCCTTTTTTTCTATCCACCGAAAATCAAGAGAGCGCCTACTTGATTACTTTTGGTGTTGTCAATGATTAAACTTTTTAACATAGTCGTCCAAAAAAGCATTGGGAAAACAAACGTTAGTATATAATTATTAACGCGGTTTGGTAAAGGCGCACAGTTGAACAACATTTGTGGTGTACAGTTAAATGTACAAATCATTGGCCAAAGTTGAGTGCTACCTGAATTTCAGTACCAGTACAAACAAAACCAAACCCCTCACATCAATAATAATAATAATACGAAAAAGAATTTACTTGATAGTAAAGACCAACAAGTTTTATCGTCAAGCTCTGTTGGTGGATGCACACAAGAGGATTGATCGCCAATTTTAGAAAGTTTGATTTATCGAGTATAAGCATAGGTGGTATTTGTTGACTGGCATCTCGGTGGGACTGTTTTTGTTTCTCGTACATACAACAGACACGCCATCGCGCCATTCGCGACTTTTACGAGTGCATAATTATATGGTATGTATAACACGTGATGGATATTACGCATAGCGCGACGAAAAACGCGAGCGATCCGAGGCGCGCAATTAAATTTCCACGCTCATTCGCGTGGATGGAGGAAATGCCTGGAGTCCTTCGACGTGAAGGCTCGATCTTTCGACGATAGGGATGCCAACAACGTGGTTTGTTCATTTGTTCATCCATGCAATAACAAAAAAAAAAAAAACAAAAAAAAAATGGTTGAAAATACCCTGCTGGGACACGGTGCCGACGACAACGAGCAGATCGTCGCTGAGGTTCGGCAGTCGCGGCTCGAGCACGTGATCGGCTCGGTCTTTCCACTGCAGCCACTCGAGTCTCATGGCAGGATACAGCAGTGCGATCAGCAGCACTACCAGGCCGAGGATCACCAGCCAGACTCCCGAGCGGAAGGGCAGCCGGAAGAGGTTGGACGTGGACGACAGCGGTGGCCGGCGAAATATGAACCTCGAGCTGGACAATGGGAAACAATGGCTTTTTAGCGGAATGAATAAAAAAATAAAAGAGAGATAGCGGTGATTCTCACCCGGTGGGTGTCGAGAGGGATATGTACTGTATGACACCGATGCGCTCCCGAAGCAGGAAAGTCCCGGTGCCGCCGATGTCGATCTCACCCCGTTGCAGCATACCGATCATGCCGCCCCACGAGCCGTTCGGGCTCTGGTAGCCCCAGGTGTCCGCAGTCGCGAAGCTTACCCTATATTGGATTGAAATTTACCACTGTGTCAATACAATGTACCTTTGACAATGGAATTCGATGTGTTTTGGTTGGATACAGTGTTTCGTACACTGTATGCATCCAATAGAGTAATTGTAAGTTGCGTCACAAAAAAATCATCATGTCAAGCCCGATCTGCTGCGCTCGATCCAATTATGTCTCTAATATCGTTAAAAAAGCCATTACTTCTGCTGCAACGATCGCGAAGATTGAAAAGATCCAAGGCCACAATAGCACCCCGGAACCCATAAAAGAAAGACTATTACGCGGCGCGTGACAATTGAAGCGTCGTAAAGTGTTAGGCCTCGCGAAATGTGTATACTCAGGAATGACAGATTGTCTTGGGATGTCTTTTTTGTTTTTTGGCAGAAGGATACCAACAGTATAGCGAGTCCGTTATACATGTACCTTATGCAAATGAGTTTTTCTATAATTTTACAACTTGTGATGGTAAAAGTGGGAAAGTAAATAAAAAAACTGTGGTACTTTTTTACAAAAAAGTGCCTATATACGTATTGTACACGTAGTTAATGGTCAAGGGACTAACGTGGCGTTGATCATGTTCACCAGATGCAGTACCCACGGATAGTTGCACTTGGTTATCGAGTCGATGTGCCGATCCTGGTAATCGGTCAGATGATTGATCGTATCCGGATGAGTGATCTGCGGATATTCATCATGGGTATAGCTGTATCAATTGACGTCAAGAGTAAAGCGTTGAGGAAAAAAAAAGTCGTGACATTTTTATCAAGCCGTATCGAAACACTCAAATTTTCTTTGAAATTCTCGTGCAAAATGAAACGCCGCGGGTAACGCCTCGTGCGCCGAGATAACGTACATCCACGTCAACAAAGAAATCCAAAACCTACGCAATAAACTTGTGACATAAACACGTTAAATCTCGGCATGAGGAAACTTTGCGAGTTGTACTTATAAACGCGATTACCAATGTTTGGTGTGAACAAATAAAGAAACAGGTGCCCAACCACAAGACAAGACTTGAGCTGAATCCCACCGAGGTCCCTTCTCCTCCTGGACGCGACGTTCCGATCCCCAATCACCAGCCCGGAAGCGATGCTCCATGACCCGCGCAACTCGTCCCGCCAGTGACCAGAGCTACCGGCCCGGTAGATCGCCACCAGCTCATTCGACTCGGAGTCCCAGAGGATCAGCTCGCTGTCCGCGAGAACCGCGGCTCGGGCGAGCTGGGCGCGCGTGTCGTCCACACTGCTCGCCGAGGGCCGGAGCATCAGCCACTTGAACGGCGTGGAGAACATTTTTTCGCCATTGGCCGCGCCAAGGAGGTCCTCGACTCCCCGACAGCCCAGGTCTAGGACGAAGAGCTGCTTGTGGGCGTCCGAGGGTACGTCCTGGTACCTGCTTTCCCTGTTGACAATCACGCGAGACAGGTGGTTGGAGTTGTTTTATCTGCGCTCGAGTGCTTGGATCACGGGGTTTTTGTTAATCAGAGAGTCAACGTGACGGCAAGTGGGAGATAAAAGTTGCCAAGCCACGCGCGTAATTGAGTACGATTTAATGCCGGGATGTGGTGGCTGAAGAGGCAAGAGCTAAAAACAATGAATGTTTTTTCGCGTCTTTTGACGAGTACCTGTTAATAACGTTTTTTAAAAGATCCTCGTGAAGCGTTTATTTTATTTTTTTATTTTTTTTTTTATTTTTTTTTTTGGCGGTTACGTAAAATTGTGAAAATTAGAAAGGTAAGCACCGTGGATGCAATTCGCCAAGGGGGCAGTTGTTTGGGCTTTACGAAACATCTGGGCAATTTCATGGATTGTACATGTAGTTACTGTTTTTGTTGGAAATTTTTTGTTTTTCGTTTGGGTTATTTTAACTTAACAACGTCAAGGACGTTTTTTTTAATGAATTTCTTGATGATACCAATTTCATGATGTACATAAAATAGTATATAAATGACAGCATAAAAGAAATAGAATTATAAAAATAGTAAATTTCGACTTTTTTTCATATTTAATTATTTATCACATGTTGAACATCTTTGCCAAAAATGTGTATCAATTCATTAAATCGAAGCATTTGTCCGTGAAAGTGCAAACATAGAAACGTGTTAAAAAAAAAAAAAAAAAAATAGATTGACAAGATTAGCATGCATCATTGATGATCTGTCAATGAATAATATTTCTTCAAACAAGATAATCAACACAGATCGCATAAATTGGTAAATCCCACGTTTGAGAACACAATTGATCGACAACTCGATAACAAAACTTCCCCCGACTGAGACGTTCGAAAGCTTAATTGTACTCGTATACCTAGTTGTATGCTACTACCACTTGCGAATTCTGAGTGTCATATCTTGTGCTATTTTGTAAAGGATATAATATTAAGTATCCGTAGCGTATTGAAGTAAGTTTGAGGTAAAAAAAATAATACAACTACGGAAAAACTCTCATGTCCAACAGTTAATTAAAAAAAACCTTATTTCGTGTGCCAAGAAAGCAGACAGGGTATTTTTATATATTTAGAGATTTCAATTTTAATCTTATATTGCGTTATTGTGTATAAATTTATTTGATTACTGTTTAACAGTATTGGCAAATGGTCAAATGTATGTACATACAAAAATGCAGTATAACCTCAAATTCAAGTATAGAAACGGATTATAATTGATGAAACATTTAACAAGCTTCCTTTCACTATGGCACTATAAATGAGATGATTTTTTTTTTCTTGCAACTGATGTCCAGAACTAAGAACAAGTGTTTTTTTATCCCAAACTTATACTTAAATAAGTCGTATTGGGTATTTTACTGGACACTTGAAACACAATCGAAGGGCAAGCTCTTCAAAAAAAAGAATAAAAATATAGAGCGCTCATCCAACTCCGCGATTCCGAAGACGCGAAGAAAGGAGCTCCGCTAGATGGCGCTGATAATTATTCATTATTCGTTTTCCAACGGTAGTAAGTAAAAGTTGTTGCAGTCTTTGCCACTAATTTTTAGCATTCGAAACATCTTCCTCTCCGAAAGTGTATGATGCCCGATCAAAGTGTATTAGAAGGGCGCAAAGTAAAATTTTCACCAAGCCAGCTCGCCGAGGCGCCCAACGCTCTCTTCAACGTCCAACACCCGACTGGAAACGCGAGTAGCAGACAGCTCCCGCAACAGCTGAGTCCTCGACTTGGGATCCTGGCACCCAAAGACCGTGACTGCGCCGAAAGCCCCGGAGTACGGGAACGCGCCCTTTGCGTCCCTGAAATCCTCGAGCATGTCCGTCAGCTGGGCGCTGTCGATGGCCGCTTGAACACCACCCGAGATGATCAGTATCGGGAGGAGGAGGAGGCGCCGAGCAAGTGGAATCAGATTTCTCCCGACGATGGCCATGCCGGGGGACTCTGCGGGAAAAAATATTATGGATTCTCTGGTTTGTCACTGGAAGCGTCAAAGTCGACCGATGCGGAGAGGTTTTCCGAGTTTCTTGTTTTTTAATGCTCCGGAGATCGCAATGGACGACGATGGCGTCGAAGCGATCATGTAAATTGTTGAAAGCGTGTTATGGAGAAACGAGTTATGCTACACGGGCCCTGCCACCGAATTTCAGAATTTCAAAACGATGAGACAAATTATCATCATCATCATCATTTACTCACCAGTGATGGTCTTTCGCAATTGGTATGATAGCTCGACGAACTTTTATTTCAATAATTTTTGGATACGTAAGTATATATGTAACGTTATACTCAACGCGAGACGGATTAATTTATTGCCATCGCTATATCTGTACGTGTACACAAAGATTACACAATTTTAATTTTTTTTTTTTTTTATATCTTTTTCTTCCACGTTATAGCTTTGTGTAAACGAAGATTTTGCCATGTGTGGATCAACTCGGCGAATGGGAGACAATCAAGTGGTCATGCACGTACGGATGTGATAAGAAGCAATGAAAAGAACAAACAATGGCGCGTGCACGTTTTTTTTTTTTTTTTTTTCACCACCAACACTTTGAGTACCCAAGAAATATTATATGTAGGACCACGTAAAGGCAATTAAGTACTATATATACTCTCGGAGAGAACGAGAAACAATACGTATCAGAGACAGTCAGAGAGACTGCCGAATGAGCACGAGCAAACAAAAACGAAAGATCGGTATGTGCGGGTGAAGCGCTTGTATTGTAAAGCACGGCGCGCGTGTAATTTTCGTGAAAGCACATACACCACAAAAGCATATAATCGTAAGTGAATATATGTATATGTGTTGTATTGAAAGACCTACGTAGGTACGTCGTGTCGCGGGATTGTTTATTCAGCGCGCGGTTGTTCCGCCTCCTCCTGCTTGGCCTTTCATTATTCGGTACAAATGATGTGCACCTGCACGCGCGCTTCTCGGGCTCTTGAAGATGTATTGTACCTGCACACGTGTACCTGGAAGCAAAGACACTGTGAGGATCTATATACGTTTGTGGATAGCGGAGAAAGTCGGATAAATTCCATGGCGCAACGCCTGTTCCGCCCTTTACTCCTCCTCCGCGCCTGGATCCACGGATTACAGAAATGACAGAATCGATCGACAGATACACATAAGTGCCCATTACAGCATTGTTGTCCCCCTGCATTTGCACAGTCGTGCCATTTTCGCAAATTCGCGACATTACCCATGATACACCTTGTGTACCTTTGCACAGTGGATTATACACCTGGCGCGAACGATGCGTTATTTATAGTCTCATCCTCGCGATACGGATACGCAAAGAACTGCTTTTTTTTTCTCTCGATTGCATTTTAGTGTAAGTTCATACAAGTGAGCAATATCCATCCAGTCATAAGCAAGCAGATTGATGTGTCATCATTCGAGACAAAATACACCTATAGTATCAGATTTCGTGCGCCCACCAAGCAAACGTTTATTACCATTTTGCATGCAATCTATACACACGTATTTTTCACTTCCTGTCTGGAGTCTGGTCTCCTTTTTTTTTTCTTCTTCTTCTTTTCGTTCTTTCAATAACTTTGTTGACTCTGTGCCAGTCGTCTCGAAAAGGATAACACTTGCGCGGCGATCGGTGTATCGTCAGCAGAAAAAGAAGGCGGTTTGTATAAGTGTTTGCCCAAAAGACGTAACTGCCACTTACTACGTCGTCTATAATTACGATGCTGAATCTCTCGTTTGCTCGTGTTTGTTTCGAAATTTCCAAGTGTCCCGCAGACGTGATCGCGCAGACGAATCGGCTCTTTCGACGCTCCGCCTTGAACTTCATCAATACGCGCAACGTGTACATACACACGTATGAGCCAATGCTGTGCTATTTCAGTTTTTTTTTTTTTAACTCCGTTTTATTATTTTGCTCGTCAATGCGTTTTCCACTCTTAAGTACGAGTATGTACGTACTTACGAGGAAAGAAACAAGTAGAGCAAAGCGAGTCCAAGTCCGCGAAATTTTCGACTTGATTATCAATTTTTTCCACTCATTCCAAGAAAGAAGTCAAATATTTGTTTCCTCGTTGATGTAACGCGTGAAAAATCTCACGGACGCGCAGATTATTCAATCTTTTATTCATTGGGAGCACGACGCAAAATAATGCCATTCGGCTCTATCTCTCGATCTGGGGATAATAAGGCCTAGGATGAAAATGATGACGACAATCATACTTGTACATAGGAGCTCATTTACGTATCTATACATGTTCCACTTATAACAAATCCATTGGCATCTGCAAAGACTGGGATAACAGCCGTAATGAAAAACAACGCACGAGTTTTTTAAGAAAAGCGATGAACAAATAACCAAAATGAAACGATCTGTGGTGATAATTGTTCCTCGCGCTGTTGCTTAAACCACCGACACATCGCAAGGCGCCTTCGAAATTTGAACGACTTTTGCCGAATGACAGCCCACAACTCAAAACGCAATGGTGCAACTGTACTTTTGTCCCGACCATCATGCCTCTGAGTATAATTTCGCGGCATTTGAATTATCCCGCTTGATGGACGAGAGCTACCACGAAGAAGAAAAGTCGTTTGTACGAAAGCCACACTGACGCGAAAGAGATAACCCATCGTATACTCGAGTGTTGTTTAAACAGTGGTTGTATCTTGAGAATCGCAGGAAAAAAAAAAAAAAAAAAAAGATTGACGGACGTATCTTATCGGATCTCGGTCCACAATGACAGACACACCCGTGATGTTGGTCTACTTGAATGAAAAGAAGAAGAAAAAAAAAAGAATTCAACGAGTGGGCCTCTCGTGCCGATTCACGTGACCACCTTTTGTATTCTTATCTGCGTAAGCTGCTCATCCGGCTTTCACGTGCGCGGTACCTCCGCGCTCAGAGGGACCATAAAGGATCCCGACGATCTACTATTTGATGATTCACTCGCACGCACCTACGTGTATATGTACGCGTGTTAAAAGACCAACGCAATAAAGTGTGTCAACGACGAATCTTGCTTTTGCGAAAGAGAGAGAGAAAATGCCGCATCATGGTGTACCTTATTTCATTATTATCATTATGTACTAGTTGTACATTGTTGCGAAATAAGGCTGTGCTCGATGAGATAATGATGATGATGATGATGATGGTTGGGACGGAACTTATAATCACCTAGAGGACCCTTTTTTGAACAGTATTTGGCGAACAAATTTAATCATGCATTTAATTATGTTCTTGTACGAAGTACCTGGAATTATTTCGAAGCAAATTTGTCTTGGGCGTAAAAACAAATAAAAGTTTGTGACAAAGGTAAAGGCAGGTGCAACTGTCATACTTTTGGATTACATTGTTTACCAATTGTCATGCTTCATTCGGTTGTATTTTCACGAAGAAAAGATTTAACAGAAAGTATCCCCATGTGCTCGTAGGAGGTGTATATTAGAAAATGGTGTCGATAACTTCTGATAGATTATTACACTCTATTTAATTCGGCATTGGGTTAAGTGCCTAACTATTAAAGAGCAATTTATTACGGCTGCATCGGCAGATTTAACTTCCACAGAGTATACTGTTGATAAAGTGACACACCTTTTGTGTGAGTAACATATGCATAATCACAAATGTTCTTTAGAAATCGTTATCTCCCGCGAGGTGTTGGCTAATACAAAAGAGTATAGAATCAAAAAATGTTTAAACTTGTGGTACGTGAGTACGTGTATTTGTATACTTGTTAATGATCAAACTTTGTAATATTACGATTTGTACCACACCTGCACTCGCGTTTATCTTATTGGCACAGTGGACTCGATTAACAAAATCAATTAGTCCCTCATTGTCTGAAACACACCACCTTTTGCGGATGTACGATAAAAATTTAATTTTAAATGAGATAAAAACATTCGCTCCACATAAGAGCCATTTTAAGCTGCGATGCGAACTAGGTCCTATATTTTCGCCATTTCAGCAAGTGGCTATTAGCCCCAATAGCCTCGAATCTTTACTTAAAAAAAATACGCGGCAGTGCAGTCGGTGCCTCAACAATTTGACCGTCCCAAAATTGTATGTTACACTTTTCAATGGTAGAAATCTTTTTTCATTGAAAAACAGGGGTAGCTGCCCTGAACAGCAAACAACAAAATGTTTCGATCGACGTTTCAAGATCACCCGAAATTATCGCTCCCATTTGTACACTTGTCGTCATCCCGAACTCTCTAATAGCCGCACCATTTACGTAACCACTCGTTTCGGTTTTCATGGTTTATCTTTCGGCCGTGCCTGGCTTGTCAAATTTTTATGTTTTTCTTTATTCTTTTATCTTTATTGTAAATTTAGGCACATTCTTGCGAGGTAAAGTCCTTTACTCTGACGTAAGAGACACAAGCTGTGACGTAACGGCAGGTGGAATGGAGTTTCGATGTTAATTTGGAAGCAAATTCGACCTGATAGAGTCGAAAAAAAACCTGAAAAACGATCAATCTCGTGATTTCGAAACGTCCCTTTTGGCCAAATTCCTCGCTGGAGCTCGTAAACGACGTCACCCCGACAGGGCAATTTTCCAAAATCCGTTCCCTCGAGTCCTTTTTTTTATTCAACACCCAAAAAATACAAGTTACTCTGCTCAACGTTTGCTCGTACACTCGTTATTTCACGCTCTCGGCTGAAGAAAAATCGACCTGTGTTTTTTGCTGTTAATTTTTTCTTCCCCCCCCCCCTCGCTGGACAAAGAAACACAGTGCACATTGTTGTTCATAGCCAATGACCACACGACGGTGGAAGAGAAATACAATAATCCCACACATGGTCGGTTTTGCCAACACACCAGGACCTAAGACTCAGCGTTGATTTATCCACCCAAGTGTACACATAATATTGTCCCTTATTGTCGAAGCAACAGGTGACGGCAT